TACTGTGATGATGCCCTGTCAGGCCGGAGCAATGATTCAAAAACAAATAAAACCCATTAAAAACCAGGCATTCGATGCAATCTCTTTGGATTTGAGACTTTAGTCTTTGCAACTTTACAGATCTTCTTTATGCACCAAGAGCTTGTAACACTCCAAAGAGAAAGGAAAAATTGAAATAGCATCATATGACACCTTTAATAAATATTTCCCTGTCAAAACGAAATGTAAACAACATCATCATGAAATATCCAAAGTGAGAAACTGTTGACAAATATGCTTAAAGGAGCTCAAAAATAGATTCCAGTGACAGAAGAATGGCAAACCTTTTCTTGTCTGTTGGGATATCCAGTGCTTGAAGTGGGCCGGTACACGGAACAGGTGTTGTGCCCAATTTTGACCCCCTGCCAAATTATTACCCCCCTCGTTGAAGCCCCTACCTGATCTAATCCTAACCCCACCCCTAATCCTAACCCCTCCCCCACACCTAACCCTAAACCTACCAATACTATAGGGGGGTAATAATCTGGCAGGGAGTAAGAATTGTGCACAAGAACGGTACTCGGAGTCAAGGCGTCAGTGTCATGGTGATTAATGACACTATATAAATCACACTACCCATGAAGGGTCACCTCTCATCTCGACAAATCACGTGAATGAATGCAAGCAGAGTCGGTCTACTGTGTCAGTGTGTGAGGTGCGCAGAGTAGTAGAATAATAATTAATTATTGATTACTAATTTGAATCAGTACATTATAACGAAAACAATTCCTTAACAATGAAAAGATGCAACCAGTAAAATCCTGGAAAGTCCAAGGATCCAGTAAGCGAATTCAAACAGTAAATTCATAATAGCGCTAATGCAGAGAATAGTGACTTGCGTCAAGATGTCAGTAATTTGGTATTTTCAGCGTGTATTTGGCTTAAAAGCAAGAGTGTTTTATAATGGATGCTGGCTAAAGGTGTTTTAGATTACGCGGTGGTCAGACGTTTAGGGATTCTGAATGGATCCATAAAGTAGTACAGTCAGGTCAAGGCAGGAGCTTTTGTGGTCTTTGGCTTCTCCCTGTGGTTCTGTTTGGTATCGCAGCTTGATTTGTGCTGATGTGGATTGAAAACTTTTAATTATTGATTGTGGCACTATACCTACACTGTGAATTATGAAAATAAAAAAAGTACTTAATCATTTAATTTTAAATAAAAAAGAGAGGGGACTGGGGATGTCATTACTGAATTTATAATAAATCATTTGTAAATGGTAAGTTATGTTTAAATATCTTAGTTCTCTGATTAGCTAGAAAAAAAATGTCAGGCCAGGTCAGGCTTTCTCTAGTGATATCTGAAAGATACATCCCACGTACGTCTGCAAGATGTTAAAGCTCTCTTCGTCTGGAAAGCATCTGCTGTGTACAAACATCTGATAGATGTCAGTTTTACATTCATTGTAAATCATAAACATCTTAAAGACATCTTCTAAAAGTCTATTTGGCATCCGATAGGAAATGTGCTATAGACGTATTGCAGATGAGCAATAAATAGGTCTTGCAGATGTAAATGCAGACATCAAATAGATGTCTCTGTGATGTACTTGAGCTGTCAGGGATAGAGCGTTCAATGCAGCGTTTGGTTATTTTTTTTTTTACTAAAATCTAACTTTCCCAGAACGTTGCAGGGAAGTGTTTTGAGTCAACCTTAAAGGGGGAATCAATACAGAACGTTCCCTGTTGTTTCTTTTTAGGTTTTATTTCAAAAACGGGTTACAGCACTTTTAAATAAAGAACAGTTTGGTTGTCAAGCTCAAAACAACTCGTTCTTAAAGCCCTTATTAAATATTTAACATGCGTGAGTCCTAAAGCAGCTGCGTTTGTCGACGACAAACGCCCCCTCAGCCTCATTGGCTGGAATCGCGGTCGCGCACTGGAAACTCGGTTACTGATTGGCCTCTACGTCTGTCAGTCAAGTTACACAAGGTTGGTTGTGATGCAGTGATGGTTGATGTGCGCCGTCAAAAGTCAGCGATCTTCTGAGTCTGTACATCCGTAACCGAACGGGATCATGAAATAGCGGAAAGGTAAGGCGTTTAGCGAAGGATACAATGCAATAGAAATCTAACTTTCCCAGAACGTTGCAGGGAAGTGTTTTGAGTCAACCTTAAAGGGGGAATCAATACAGAACGTTCCCCGTTGTTTCTTTTTAGGTTTTATTTCAAACACGGGTTACAGCACTTTTAAATAAAGAACAGTTTGGTTGTCAAGCTCAAAACAACTCGTTCGTAAAGCCCTTATTAAATATTTAACATGCGTGAGTCCTAAAGCAGCTGCGTTTGTCGACGACAAACGCCCCCTCAGCCTCACTGGCTGGAATCGCGGTCGCGCACTGGAAACTCGGTTACTGATTGGCCTCTACGTCTGTCAGTCAAGCTTACACAAGGTTGGTTGTGATGCAGTGATGGTTGATGTGCGCCGTCAAAAGTCAGCGATCTTCTGAGTCTGTACATCCGTAACCGAACGGGATCATGAAATAGCGGAAAGGTAAGGCGTTTAGCGAAGGATACAATGCAATATGATTAAGGGATGTTAGATTTCAGTGAGAATTAAAACTTAATTGTGGTATTTGCTTTAAAACGAGTGCTAACTGTTGGTGACTTATCAAGTTGAATGACAGTTAAACTGGTTTGTGGCACGCAGAGTTTTGAGAAACAAGTTGTGGTTTTTGTCAGTTGAGTAGTGATAATGAAAAGCCAACGAATACGGCGAGCTGTGAAATGCTAACAAGCTTAGATGACATTTCGGTTGCGAGGGAGACTAAAAACCCACCTCATTATCGAACCAGCCAATCATTGAACGCTTAGTCAACGCAGACGTTCCTGCGCATGGCTGTGGCTGCAGTTTTGGTCAGCACTCATTTGCATTAGCCACCCGACAGCAGCAACAGCTTGATCATGTGGCTTTTTCTTCAGACTCCGCTCCTCCCTGTTTACTTCAATCCCAGACACTGATGAGCGTCCAGACTTGATCCTGGAGGGCCGCTGTCCTGCAGAGTGTAGCTCCATCCCTGGTTAAACACACCTGAGCCAGCTCATCAAGGTTGCCTGCCAGGTAAGCTCGTGTGTTTGATCTAAACTCTGCAGGACATTGGAATACAGTATATTAGTACATTAGTTCATTAGTTCATGCTTCTTAAAGAATGAATTCGCCGCAAAACGTGTCTTGATCAATATACATAGCTCAGTGAGCAAAAGTTAAGAGATAAGGGTTCCCACAGTTTTTGTTTTTTATTGAATTTTTTAACAGCAGAGCAGGTTAAATAATGCACATTAACAACATGTATTAGCAATGAAAGTTATTAAAATGAATACAAAGTGCAAAAGTTAAATATATATTTATATTTATTTTATTATATTCTGTATATTTTATATAACAATGGTATGACCTTATTACCTTTGAATCTTAAAAGTAAACCTGGATATAGTAAAAGAGGAAAATATAAAATGAAAAATAAATAAAATCCTTAACCAGTCATTTGAAATAAGCTAATGAAAAAAAATATTTTTAAATAAATATAAAAACATCTTTTTCAAAAAAATAAAAATAGACCGTAAGAATCAAGGTTACAAGGTTGTTACAATTTTTTACAGATTGTTTGTGATAATGAGCATAAATTTACATCTGTGTCCTAACTAGGGCTGGGAGAAGAAATCGTCCATCGATGCAACGCGATCCTGGATTGATTCTGAGCTTAGTTTTTAACCAGATGAGCGATGAGCTGAGTTTGCTTTAGAAACACCCGTATTCTGCTTGCTTCCAATTCCTCACACACATACACCACTCGAACCTTCCGGAAAATAATCTTTCATAAAGATCGGAAAGGTTGAAGCGAATTACAAGGACATTCGCCGGCTTCATTGCACAGGATGCGCTTTGTTTGATGTTACACTTGAAGTGTGCAGTCTCGCCCGTCGGTATTTTCCTTACAAATGCTCCACATCATTTATGTGGTTTGGGATGCAGTGGACTTGTATATTTAAAATATAAACCTCACTAAAAGAAGGCTGCTTTCAATTTCAAATGCTGACGCAAGCTTTGTTTGTGAAGACTGCTCGCGCATGCGACTGCGTGCGACTCCGTGTACGTGGTTTAATGCACTCGTGTCTCAAAATGGTTTTATGATGCATAATTAATGTAGACACAGCCAGTTATGTGTCAAGGGATTAAACGGACAGGACAAACCATATTACTTCAGTGCGTGATTGTATCTTAATAGATCCCCGCTGTCTTAGGGCTGGACGATATGGCAAAAATTTATATCACGATATATTTCTTAATTTCAGTCGATACGATATAATTCCGATATCGATATGAACACTATTAAAAAAAGCCTTGTAAAAACTGCCAAGAACGCCACAACAGATGTCTGTGCATACAAACTTATGAAAAATGAATGAAGTCTCTGACATCTCATATAAAACCATATAATATTTAAAAAAAAGAAAAAAAACCCCAGCACAAATAAATTAATGTTCACCTTCTATTTGTATTTAGCCTTCATTCAAACAAGAAATGTGAAATTCTTTCAATCCTGCATTTTTTTAAAATCCAAAATACAGCAAAAACAGTAACATTTTGAAATATATTTTAAAATGTAATTTATTCCTGTGATTTCAAAGCTATATTTTTAGCATCATTACTCCAGTCTTCAGTATCACATGATCTTCAGAAATCATTCTAATATGCTGATTTGCTGCTCAAAAATTATTTATTATGATGTTGAAATTTAGAGTTAAATAGAATTTTTTCAGGTTTCTTTGATGAATAGAAAGTTCAGAAGAACAGAATTGATCTGAAATAGAAATCTTTTTATAACATTATAAATGTCTTTATCTTCACTTTTGATCAATTTAAATCATCCTTGCTAAATAAAAGTATTAATTTCTATAATTTCATACTGACTCCAAGCTTTTGAATGGAATAGTGTATAATGTTACAAAAGGTGTTTATTTCAGATAAATGCTGATCTTTAGGTCGTTCTATTCATCAAAGAATCCTGAAAAAAAAAAAATCCGTTTTAAATATTGATAATCGGCATATTAGAATGATTTCTGGATCATGTGACACTGAAGACTGGAGTAATGATGCTGAAAATTCAGCATATCGAAAATTAAAACCATATCACCGTTATTGGAAAAAAAGATATCGCGATACATATTGATATTGAATTATTGTCCAGCCCTACGTTGTCTATGATGTCATAGTAAAAGACAACATTAAAGATGAAGTTCTTGAACGGAAAAAGTTCAGATAATCTTAAATACTGAAAGCACGCTTTGTTTGTTGTTCGTAATCTGTTTCTATGGTCCTCTTTATTATTTGCTACTTGCTTGTATGTTTTATTAATAATTAATTATTATTAACGTACAACTGTTTAAACATTTTTTTTAAATTTGTAATTATTTAAAAAAGTACTTAATTACTTATGTAAGGATATGTAAATGTAGGGATTTAAAAATTCTCAAATTGGTAAACTAATTAATAAGGGGGGGAAAAAGTAGATCAAGAATCGTTCTGGAATCGGATCGTGACTCCCAGAATCGGATCGTTAGGTGACTAAAGATGCCATATCATCCTAACTCAAGCTACTACAGTCAACTCAAGCTACTGTCAAATGTGCATTTCTAAGAGACAATTTTTTTTTTAATATTATTAATATTGCAGCCTGCACTGCAAACTGAGCTGAATATACGCATCATCAAAGTTTATATATATATATATATATATATATAATATAATGTGTGTGTGTATAGTAGGGTTGGGCCGTCCATTGCTGATGGCTGATACCCCCCTGCAATCTGCCGCATTCCAACTCCGTGTTCGGAAAGAAAATTGTGTACTATGGAACCCCAAAAGGGAATAAATAGCCTACGAGATGGGAGGATAAAAAAAAATATTTCAATACTTTCTCTCGCAATTATATTGTTGAGTAATTCTACTGTATATAAATTGCGGCCATCAGGGAGGATACTAATATGCAGGGCATTGAAACTGCTTTCGAATGCGCGCTCTCATTTTACATTAACTTTCGAGATTCGCGATCACACAGACTCTATACTATGCAGCGGCAGTACCTACCACACATTTTACAAGAATAGATATTTGTCAGTGGTGCTCAGGATCTGCAAATCATTCGCCATCGTCCTATCAGTCATCTCTCCTTACTCTTGTGTATGTGGCAAATTAACTTTCATGTAATGTAATGTAACAGTCTACCGCTAGCAAGCGGCTAACCATGTCCCTTTAGTGGGTCCGTAGAACGCGTTATTTGTTTTCCATGCATTTCTGCATACGGATTCACGCTTCGGGCACACCCCTAACCCCGCCCACCGATGACATCGTCCATCACAATGTATATATTATATTTATACACACACAGTTAAACTGAGCACTGTTCTTCTGAAAAATCCTCCAGCTCCTGCACATTCTTTGGTTTTCCAACATCTTCTGCATATAAACCCTTTCCAACAGTGACTATGATTTTGAGATCCATTTTTTTCAAACTGAGGACAATTAAGGGACTCATACATAACAATAAGAAAAGGTCAAAACATTTACTGATGCATTAAGAGTAAACTTTTGAACAGGATGATAATGTGTAAAGCTTTCCACTTCCCTCTCTTACCCAGGTCACCATGCAGTTCCTGGGCCGTATATTGGACACGGTGAGCTCCGTGTCGACTTTGTTCTCCAACCCGTACCGTGTGAGGGATGTGCAGCTGTCGGATTATAATGGCAAAGTGCTACTGAAACAGGAGGGCAGGCTGGTCCTGTACAGGAACCAACAGAGCCATTCGTGGGACTGCCTGCTTCTCTGCCCCGAGTCTTCATCTGTGGCTCTGAGGTGAGACCCTTTAGTTAAGCTTCACAATACAGCGCGACCCATAAATTGGATTCCTGCAAAAGTCACAACGGTCCTCTGATTTCATCATAATTTTGCAAAAACTCCCATATTGCTTCACAGTATTTCGAATAAGTTTGCTTTCCCATCAGCACATGACTGTAACTAGCAGTGGGAAGCCTTGACCACAAAGAACCATTGTGGATCCACACTCTCGTTAAATAACGCCACCACCCTGAATATGGCTTTCCATTGTCATCCACTTCATTAGCTCATCATACGTGGGTTTCCAGAATTGTGAATTTGCTCTCTTTGTGCTTAGGATGTTCCAGGTTGCTTCAGAGGATGACGCCATGAATTGGTTCCCTCAGTATGCCCTCAAACTCCGCCCATTTTATGAGATGCTCCGCCCACCGCTGAAACCTGAAACGTTCCAGCCAATCGTAGACTGTGTGCGGAATCACCCCGACTGGAGCTCGGCTCACGTCGCTGTGGATACTGGACTGAGAGACTGTCTCAAACACAATTACGTTTTGAGGTGAGATATCTAGAAAAGTACAAAGTTAAAAGGTCACGTTCGCTGTATCTGATAAGTTTCCACCTTCTATTTTTAATTATATCGAATTGGGAAATGGTGTGTGTATTCGTGATTTTAGTTACATTATTCCGCCAGTAGATGGCAACACAAGACTGTTTTTTATGAGTGAGTCAGACTTTTTTTATATTGAAAGAGACTGAAACAGGGTTGTAAACAAGGAAGCTATTTTTACTTTCAACAACAGCTTGTAAGACGCAGCCAACAAATGTACTGAGCAGCGCTGTCATCGGAAATCACCCTTAACAGATGAAAGGATAGTACAACAAAGATATCGCTTTTCTCAGTGGACATTCAAACTAATGTTTTATGCTGAATATTAGATTGAGTTGATGGATTAATGCTGTATCAAATGCAGGTAATCACACACGCATGTTGTGATGGCCTGGGCCTCGTGCCTACGGCCGAATCACAGCCATGCTGATATACAGCCATATCACACTGCTACTCGTGTGATATTGCTCATATAAAACTAATGTGGATGGCATTGCTTAAATATTTTGTGAGAATTTAATGAGAAATCTTTGTGTTCATAGACTTTGGTATCTGCAGTCTAAGCTTCTTTTTTGTTCCTACAGGTAAGGCAAGCTCACAAAAACAGTCGATTCCCCTAAAGAGCTCCTCACATGAGTCACTTATTTCATGTCTATGTGGATACAGTCAGCTTGTAGGATTTTGAGTGAGCTGAATGCTTTGTAATGTTTTTTGTCTTTCTTGTATTTCGCTGATGTACCCATCCACAGCATTTAAGTAGAACTAAATGATTTGGCAAGCCCAAGAAAGCCAAATAAACCAGTGGCTTTGGATCAAAAGTGAAATTAGAAAACATACTGGATGAAAGAGCAATTGTAAATATGTCATATCATCCATTAAATGTATCACCCCCAGAAAACATCTATAAATTTAAACTAATGGGCTTCAGCTGTGCATCATGGGGCATCACAATGATTTGTTTTACACTTCTCTCATCAAGTATTTTAGAGTTGTTTAATCATCAAACTGCTTTGAACTACTAGAAGAAACTACTGGGAATATAGATGATATTGACAATGACAGTGGAAAGATCATTTATTATTGATTAGAATAGTAAACACACTGCAAACAAAGCAGCAAAACTATTCCTAAATCTTTAGATTTTGACCATTTTGATCTTCTTAGGTCTCTAAATTAATTAGTCTGATTTTATTTACTTGTGACCACAGCATGAAATGTTATATTTAATTAAACACAGTCTGTAAGGCTGTATGTCTGTAATGCGATTTTAAGACCTGTTTAGAAGTTTTACAGTCCCTGAAAGCATCTCAGATTAAATGTCCCTCAAGAAAGGGACATGACACGTCACATTGAGCTTTGATTACTCGCATCGGTGGAATCATTTCTAACTGTGCTTTTTTCCTGAATTCTTCTGCAGCACCGTTGCTGGATGAGAGCTGCCTGACAGTAGAGGCTTCTCTCTCAGACTGGTCAGAGAGGCAGTAAAGAGCTGATCTCAATGGAAAAGAATTCAAAGCCTCTTCCCCCTCCCATTCTCTGCCGTTTAATTTAAGCAATATGTGTCTGAAGTGACACTGAACTTTTCCTTCCTCCCTCTCTTTCTCTCTTCTTCTGGAGAATGTGAGCTTAAAGTCATTTTTACTGTGTTTTGCATTGTATCACATTTATGGTTTTGTCTTCATCTCTCTCTTTCTGTGTGTCTCATCTTTATTTTCCTCTTCAGCAGTGTGGATTTTCCTCGAGGCTTGGTACGTCACACTGCCACGTTATCGGAAAGCCATATTTTCTTGCTTTGTCTCTTGGTTTCTGGATTGCTTCTACTAGCCAGAATCTAAATATGGTCATGATTGGTTAAATGTGTACCATTTGGAGCAATCCTGACCTGTGGAGCTCAGATTTCACCCACAATTCCTTCAATACTAGATTAATGGATTTTTCAAGTCATTTTTCGCTCAAACATTTGGGGTAAATTGTCTGTTTTTAATCACTTTAAGATTTTATTGATCAATTTCAGTATTGAATGAATTTGAATTTTATGCAGAATCTTGTGATTCACACATATTTATAGAGAAATATAGAATATAATGTAAAATATATTTAAATATTCAGAATAATTCTATATGATTTGGAATATTTATTTAGAATGAACACTATATACTTCTTTAGGTTTGTCTAGATTTTTTTTTATTTCTTCTTCTTATTTATTTATTTTCACTGAGCTCGTAGCAATGCATTCTGGGATTTTCTATACATTGAAAGATGTATGCAACTCCAAAACTCGAGGTATCTTAGGTATCTAACTTTTGGAATAGTCTTCACTTTGGGTGTCCGTCTATGATGCCTTAAATTATGCCTACAGTGGCAGCTCACTGGGTTTTAGAACTGAGCGCATATGTTTGTGTGCTTTTGTAAACTCAGTTGCATTTTGAATTGACAGAGAAGAGAAATTTGAGAAAAAGAGAGAGAAAGTGGCAGAGAGAAAGGCTATTCTAAAGGAACAAGGCGTTCCTTACATTTTTGTGGTGTGGTCAGGAGAAGGTCTCCCCATTTTAGACGTAATGTTAAAAACTAAAGTGGAATCTGTTTTTGCAGCTAATGCTTTTCTCTCATGCATTTCATCTCACAGGCTCCTGCTCTCAATCTGTAATGGGCAGAGACTGTTTATTCATGATTGCAGGTCAGGGCAGCGAAATGCAGAAACTAAAGTTGAACTATGGAGTCACGTAATGCCACTCACACGTGACACACAGCACGTAGTAATTTCATCCTCTACCCAAACATTTCGGCCACACGACACTGGGACATTGACAAAGGGCTAGAATCATTTATATAAATAGTTTAATAGATATTGATAATTAGTTATCCGTGTTCACACACGTGTTTGTATTATGTTATGTTATGTTATGTTATAGCATAATTACCTATAAGCAACAAAAATATTTGAATATGTATAGTTTTATGAAATATTACAGCAATTTAACAAGGTTCTTCTTAATTATTCTGAAAGTGACAATTTGTAGGATTCATCCGATTTGAGCCTGTTTTGTTGCGAATAGCTAAGCATATCTGCTATGTTGAAATGCTAAGCACATTTAGTGAACCTAAATTGAATGTATTTTGCTTGACTTTCACTTAGTATATAATTTGCATGCCGGTTTCAGCTAAAACTCATTTTAAGGGTGTAGGCCAAGAAGCCTTTAGCTGTCTTTGATCATGGCCTATAAAGAATAAAAACAAGTCATATGCTGTTGCAGCCAAGAGTGACCGCTTTGTGCCATGTTGCCAATGCTAGGGCTGGTATGTTAGTGCTCAACCCTTGATTGTATGTATTCTGCCATGTGCAGGGTCATCACCCATGGAAAGGAGGAGCTTCAGTCTAATGGAGAAAACTTCTGCATCACAGTCTGAAATTTAAAGCCCTCTGGGGCCGAAAGTTCCTCTGGGAAGAACTACAGGTATGTGATCAGGTTTCTTCAGCAAAATAGAGCAAAACAGACTGATCCTGGACCTGGGTTGAGTGAATAAATGCAGGTAATCGCATTTGTTTATAAACAAAAAGTGTCTGAATATGTTTCAAACTTTTCATCCAAGGTAAAATTAACTGCTATATGGATGGTGTCACTGCACATTTCAAGGGGGAAAAAAAACACCCAGGCCACTGTAGCAGCTGCTAACGTTGACCTTCAAGGGTATGAACTTTGACCCTGGTTTCTATCAAATCCCACCCACTTCTTCTGCTTTATTTTTTCCCCTAGCAGCCGTCTGGTGGCCCTCTTCCCACCATGCCTGGATCTCACATGTGGCTGCAGAGAGGGATGAGATTTATTCTATTCTTTAGCACTGGAGGATCATCTTAGCAACGTCACTCTAAGCACAAACAGATGTGTGTTGAAAATAGGAGGAGGAAAAAATGTATTCAAGTAGACACTTGATTTACTCATAGATGTATACGAAGGCTACAGGACTTTGTAGGCATCTTTAAGGTCCTCTTCAAAGCACATGCTGAGATTTAGACATCTCTGAGTTTTAGGTCCCGTCATGGAGAAGGAAAAGGTACTGTAAACGCTAACTTTTTGTGGTTGAAACCTACTATTGTCCGCCGCCTGTGAGCCTGGGCTTCAGCCAAGCGAGACGTGGCTACAGAGGGAACTTAGCCCAGAATGCTGCTTCCTGTAAGGCTTCTGCCACAGAGGGCTGGGCGGGGCAATGGGCTGAGTTGTGGGTGGAGTCTATGGCTTTTTACGGGTGGGACATATTCCTAAATGCCCTGACAGATGCTAAATCTTGGAGCAAGTAATTTGACACATTTAAACCAATAACCTTCGCTCTCCTAATTTTTCTTTTTCCTCCCCTTTTCTTTTTCCTTCATCTCTGGCAGGTGTTTTGCATAGGACTTTTATCAAAGTTTATATATATATATATATATATAATATAATATAATATAATATAATGTGTGTGTGTAGTAGGGTTGGGCCGTCCATTGCTGATGGCTGATCCCCCATACCCCCCTGCAATCTGCCGCATTCCAACTCGGTGTTCGGAAAGAAAATTGTGTACTATGGAACCCCAAAAGGGAATAAATAGCCTACGAGATGGGAGGATAAAAAAAAATATTTCAATACTTTCTCTCGCAATTATATTGTTGGGTAATTCTACTGTATATAAATTGCGGCCATCAGGGAGGATACTAATATGCAGGGCATTGAAACTGCTTTCGAATGCGCGCTCTCATTTTACATTAACTTTCGAGATTCGCGATCACACAGGCTCTATACTATGCAGCGGCAGTACCTACCACACATTTTACAAGATTAGATATTTGTCAGTGGTGCTCAGGATCTGCAAATCATTCGCCATCGTCCTATCAGTCATCTCTCCTTACTCTTGTGTATGTGGCAAATTAACTTTCATGTAATGTAATGTAACAGTCTACCGCTAGCAAGCGGCTAACCATGTCCCTTTAGTGGGTCCGTAGAACGCGTTATTTGTTTTCCATGCATTTCTGCATACGGATTCACGCTTCGGGCACACCCCTAACCCCGCCCACCGATGACATCGTCCATCACAATGTATATATTATATTTATACACACACAGTTAAACTGAGCACTGTTCTTCTGAAAAATCCTCCAGCTCCTGCACATTCTTTGGTTTTCCAACATCTTCTGCATATAAACCCTTTCCAACAGTGACTATGATTTTGAGATCCATTTTTTTCAAACTGAGGACAATTAAGGGACTCATACATAACAATAAGAAAAGGTCAAAACATTTACTGATGCATTAAGAGTAAACTTTTGAACAGGATGATAATGTGTAAAGCTTTCCACTTCCCTCTCTTACCCAGGTCACCATGCAGTTCCTGGGCCGTATATTGGACACGGTGAGCTCCGTGTCGACTTTGTTCTCCAACCCGTACCGTGTGAGGGATGTGCAGCTGTCGGATTATAATGGCAAAGTGCTACTGAAACAGGAGGGCAGGCTGGTCCTGTACAGGAACCAACAGAGCCATTCGTGGGACTGCCTGCTTCTCTGCCCCGAGTCTTCATCTGTGGCTCTGAGGTGAGACCCTTTTAGTTAAGCTTCACAATACAGCGCGACCCATAAATTGGATTCCTGCAAAAGTCACAACGGTCCTCTGATTTCATCATAATTTTGCAAAAACTCCCATATTGCTTCACAGTATTTCGAATAAGTTTGCTTTCCCATCAGCACATGACTGTAACTAGCAGTGGGAAGCCTTGACCACAAAGAACCATTGTGGATCCACACTCTCGTTAAATAACGCCACCACCCTGAATATGGCTTTCCATTGTCATCCACTTCATTAGCTCATCATACGTGGGTTTCCAGAATTGTGAATTTGCTCTCTTTGTGCTTAGGATGTTCCAGGTTGCTTCAGAGGATGACGCCATGAATTGGTTCCCTCAGTATGCCCTCAAACTCCGCCCATTTTATGAGATGCTCCGCCCACCGCTGAAACCTGAAACGTTCCAGCCAATCGTAGACTGTGTGCGGAATCACCCCGACTGGAGCTCGGCTCACGTCGCTGTGGATACTGGACTGAGAGACTGTCTCAAACACAATTACGTTTTGAGGTGAGATATCTAGAAAAGGACAAAGTTAAAAGGTCACGTACGCTGTATCTGAGAAGTTTCCACATTCTATTTTTAATTATATTAAATGTACTATTTAAAAAAAAAAATATATATATAAGCATTATTTTTATATTATTTTTATATTTATATTATATATATATATTTATATTATATATATATATATATATATATATTGCGTTTATAAAAACCTGGCCATTTTTAAACTAACCTTATGTAAAAAAAATAAATAAATCTCTGAGTCCGATTATAAACATTAAATCAAGAACAAAATGTTAAACATTGTGATTGTTTGTGGCCCCTTGCAGTCAGATGAATGCCCGTGACGCCCAGGGTCAGACCCCGCTGCACCTGGCGTGCGAGAGAGGAGATGTGGGCTGCATGCGAGAGCTCCTGGAGGAGTGTCAGGCTCGCACGGACATCAAGGACAAGAACGGAGAGACGCCCATGCACTGCGCTGCTAAACAAGACTCTGCTGGTGTTATAGAGGTGAGAGGTCAACTTAGGGCTTACATACTATCTGCTGAATGCCAAATTCGAGTGTCTATGATTGTGTATTTTATTTTTGTTGCTCGTAGGTTTTGTGTGCACAGATGTGCATGGGTGTGAATGAGCTGAACGCCGCCGGGGAAACACCAATGCACATTGCATGCCGTCTCGGGAGGGTCGAGGTGGTCAAGGGCCTGCTGGGGGGCGGAGCACGCTGTGACATCATGGGAAGCAATGGCTATCCAATCCACACCGTCATGAAGTTTAGTGAGAAAAGGTGCAGGACAAGAATCTTCTCTTTGCTTTTTAATTGATAATTCACATGCAGGCTTCTAACTCACGCGTCTCACTCCTCCTAGTTGTGCAGAAGCAATTTTAAACACCAACCCAAATCAACTTCTGGCGCAGGATCCGATTTATGGCGGAACGCCTCTTCACTGGGCCAAGACTGCTGAGGTCAGAAACACTTCCCTTTGTTTTTTGTGCTTGAGGAATTGAAAGTGTTAGTTGTATGACCGTCCTGTGTTTTCTCTCTCTAGATGAGCCGTGTGCTGCTGGACCGAGGATGTAGCATCAACTACCTGAGCAAGACCGGAGAGAGTCCGTTACACATCCTGACAAAGAGGGGGCGCTTTGAGGCCGCAATGACGCTGCTGACCCACGGAGCCGACCCCAACATTAAGGGTCAGGATGGAAACACAGCACTGCACCTCGCCATGAAGGTATGAGAGAGGATTTCATAAAGCCTGTCAAGAACATTTCTGGCTCATATTTCACCTCAATCTAGATGTAAAAATATAAAAATTAAATATGAAAAAAAATCTGCCTGTAATTTATGCAATTTTTATTAAAAATAATTGTATTACAGTAATGATGGTTAAATAATAATTTTAGTAAAACAATAACTATTATTATTATCATTACAAAATTATTATTATTTATTAGTAATATGCATTTATGTGTATTGATTAATGAAAGTTCATATATATTGCATGATGACTAAAAATAAAACACCTTTATTGAAAATTTTAAAAATCTCAAATGTAAAATTTTAAAATTGCATTATGGTAATAATTTTTGGCAAATTTTTTTTTCTTTTTTTGTCATGATAATATGGGGTAAAATTATCTGGTACGGTGTAATTTTCATATTTATGAAATTTAATTAAATATTTTTAATTTGCTTTTTATATTTTCTGTTTTCATTTAAATTTTATTTACATTTTAGTCTTTGTATATATTTTTTCTTTTTTTAAATATTTCTATTTCTATTTAACTTTAATTTAGTACTTACAAATTAATACTTTTAATTAGTACTTCATCTTAAACCGGTTATACTTAGACAAATTTTTGATTTTCATTTAATATTAATATTTTATTTAATTTTAGCTTTATTTCAATGAAAGAAATTGTAGTAGTTTTATTTATCAGAAAGATAAGTACAATTCAATTGTGAAACAGTGTGACGTTCTTATATTTCAAAAGATAAAATGGAACATTTTAAGATCTTCTTAGGGTAACTGTGATCACACTCTAATTGACTGAATAATTATAAAGTTTTTAAAGTTAACAGAAATTGTTGGTATAGAGAGCACTTTTTTCTGTTTTTTTCTTGTATGCTGTAACCTCTGGACCCTCAGTTGGACCACATGGACCTGATCAAAGCTCTCATGGTGTTTGGAGCAGATGTCGAAGTTCACAATGACCTGGGAGAGACACCAGGACTCATCGCAGCCCGTACCAGCAAGGGTGAGAGAGAAAGAGATGTGAGATTAGACACCCAATTGAAGGCTAACAGAACAGTCGCCAATGTATTCAAGCTCTTTTTAAATTTCTGGTTGCACAGTGTCACAGAGCCCTTTGTTTAAGTGTGCTGCATGACAACTTTTGAGGTGTTTGCATGCAAGCATAACATTATCTAACCGTAAACCACCATAAATTGAGTTGATATGCATATGTACAACTGAGCAACAGCACACAATGCAAGTCACAAATCACACTAATGATTTGCTTTTGTTTTGCTTTAAATGTGTTTAATTTCTCAGCCAGTCATAGCACATTTCATGTGTATAAAGCCACCAGGAGTTTATTTTGTTTATTATTTATTTAAATATATTTTTCATTTAATTAAAATTTTAAATTCAAATTAAATATTTGTTAAAATTGTTTCTTTAAAAAATAAACTTATTTATTTTAAATATGTATTTATTTATTTTAAAAATATGTTTGTATGTAAGTATTTATTTTTGTTATTAATCACAAAAAGTTCTAGACGATTTTAAACAGAAAAGAGGGGGCAAATGTCTTCAGCATCATAAGGAGCCTATGCTATTCTCTGGAAAAACTGGCAGAAGCTGTCTGATAGGTCCTGATGTTTTGATTGGTTGTATTAATTCTTGTGAGAGCTTCACCACAAACTATGTAACAGCCTGCGTGTCATGATGGTTTTTACACATCTTAGTTTTTGACTACAAGAATGAAATGTCATGCTCTTGTTTTCTCATTCATGCATTCAGTTAACGCATACTCTTTCTGTCTTCCATGTGTATGGTGTGGGTGTTACGGCATGCGTGTGTCTAATCCTGCACTTATGCTGAAGGGCCCAACCGTAAGGTGCTCTTGAACATGCTGTGTAGTGTAGGGGCCGAGCGGTTTGTGTGTTGTTCATTTGTTGACACACTAATGATTTGCTTTTGTTTTGCTTTAAATGTGTTTTAAAGTGTTTAATTTCTCAGCCAGTCATAGCACATTTCATGTGTATAAAGCCACCAGGAGTTTATTTTTGTATTATTTGTTTATTATTTATTTAAATATATTTTTCATTTAATTAAAATTTAAAATTCAAATTAAATATTTGTTAAAATTGTGTTTCTTTAAAAAATAAACTTATTTATTTGAAATTTTAAATGTATTTATTTATTTATTTTAAAAATATGTGTGTATGTAAGTATTTATTTTTGTTATTAATCACAAAAAGTTCTAGACGATTTTAAATAGAAAAGAGGGGGCAAATGTCTTCAGCATCATAAGGAGCTTATGCTATTCTCTGGAAAAACTGGCAGAAGCTGTCTGATAGGTCCTGATGTTTTGATTGGTTGTATTAATTCTTGTGAGAGCTTCACCACAAACTATGTAACAGCCTGCGTGTCATGATGGTTTTTGCACATCTAAGTTTTTGACTACAAGAATGAAATGTCATGCTCTTGTTTTCTCATTCATGCATTCAGTTAACGCATACTCTTTCTGTCTTCCATGTGTATGGTGTGGGTGTTACGGCATGCGTGTGTCTAATCCTGCATTTATGCTGAAGGGCCCAACCGTAAGGTGCTCTTGAACATGCTGTGTAGTGTAGGGGCCGAGCGGTGTCACCCGCCCTCCCTCAACAGCCCTATCCTCAGTGTCAACAAAGCTCCGCCTCCTGGCATAGGTAAAGCCCCCGCCCCCAAACTTTCCGCTTTCCTGCCAGTATTTCACCTCTGTCCTTCAGTCGTCTTCTGTACTTTTTATGTTGTTATTTCAGTAGTGTTCAGAAGAACAAGTGTGACTTTGTTCCAAAACCTGGTTAGCTACTGCCTACATAGGCTGATGAGTGGCCGATTTGGAACGTTCTACATGGGCAACAGCTCATGCGTTATACAAATGGGGTTCCTCACATGAAGAGCACTGAAGACTCGGCTCACGAATTGATTTTAATAATGTTTTGGCGTTAGCATGTTGCTAAGCTAACAACATGACACTCTAATTCGTGTAAAATGCAGAAATATTCTGTAAAAAAATAAGTACATTTTGGCACATGAGTAAATTGACATTTCTATTGATTTTGTCCACCATTTGGATGAATATTTTAGCTGAACTCAATGCAGAGCATTCTGGGAGTGCCTTCTCCACTACAAGGTATTTTATAAGGTAGAATAAATATGCTGACTGCTTTCTGGAACATAATGTACAAATTTAAATACTAATTAAAATGATTATCATTTAAGTATTACAATTATTACTATTTAAATTAACTTAAATTATTGTAATTTAAATATCAATTTAAATTAGTACTTAATGGCCACCAAAATTGTGTCCTCTCTTTTTTCCTTCCTTAATTTTTAATTGAGGGGATAAAACTTCCTGTGGTCATAGAAACCGGATTTACATACCTAGATGGCCCATTTGAATCATTCAGATTTGTCAGTAGCAGCTGCCATCTTGGAAAGGTCAACATTTTGGGTTGCACTCAAACAATCACTCACCAACCTACTATAATTACACCAACATAAATGCCATGACACTGTATAGCCTATGATGTAAACCGGCGAGACAAAAGAGGGTAGTGTTTCACAGTTGATGATAAATGCATGCTGATAAAGCATGGTGCTTGTTGCGTCATCACTTGTGTTTGCGTCAGCATGTGTTTTTACTGGTGGATATTGACCTTTCCAGTTTGACGGCCATGCTTGCGTATCACTTATTGCAACAGCGGTATCTAGGTATTGCAAATCTATGATAGTCAACCTGCCATCAGTTTGGTTCACTGCTCTCCTATCTTTCCCATAATTGGTCCATAGGGTTTGATGACATCATGCACGTGGCGGCAGCTGTCACGGCCATGAGTCGTGGATTTGCAGAGGTCGATGGGCTCAAGACAGGAAGCAAGAAGTATGTTACATACATTTAACATTGATGAGAACAAGCCTACACAGAATTGATCGCTCACTTGCTTTTCTTTTCCTCAAGAATGGACAGATTGCTGTGTCTAGATGGTGGTGGAATAAAGGGACTGGTTCTGATCCAGATGTTGATCGCTTTGGAGAAAGAAGCAGGACGGCCCATCAGGGAACTCTTTGACTGGGTGTCTGGGACTAGCACTGGCGGCATACTGGCCCTAGCTATTGTACACGGTATTTGTTGTAGTATTTACTATTTACGTACATTCATAACACCGGATTGACCAATCAGGATCCAGAACAGAAAGATCCTTGATATAATTATAAAATATTTTCTTGGTGACTGTGTGTACATGCATCAGTATAATTGTGTTTGTTGTATTCGTGAGCAGGTAAATCGATGGAGTATCTGCGCTGTCTGTACTTCAGGATGAAGGAACAGGTATTTAAAGGTTCTCGGCCGTATGAGTCTGGCCCTCTGGAGGAATTTCTCAAGAATGAGTTTGGAGAAAATACCAAGATGACGGATGTCACTCACCCCAGGTACTTATATTTAAGGTTTGGGATTTTAACGAAACCAAACAGCATGAAAACACCCAACAACAACTGCGTAGCAATGCCCTGTAAATCAGCAGAATACCCAAACAATGCTGTAGCAACCACTCAGATCAACAACTGCTTGGCAACCACCCCAAAAACACCCATGTAACCACGTGCAATCATCTAAAACACCCTAACAACTGCCTGGCCACTACCAATCAAGCTATGCCATATCAATCACCAGAATACCCAAGCAATGACCTAGCAACCACTCAGATCACCCTAACAACAGCTTGGTAACCACCCAAAACACACATGCGACGACTCAGAACCTAGCAATGTCCTTGAAACCACCCGAAATGCCCTGATAATTTCTTAGCAACCACTCAGAACTTCCTAGCTGGTCCCTAGCAAAGACTCAGAACATTTTATTATTACTTAGCAATGACCCAAAACTCAAGTAATGCCCTAGCAACACTCGAAATACCCTAACAACTGCAAATGCCCAACTACCCATGCAGCTGCTCCCCAAAATAATGAGAGCATTGCATCAGCTACCTACTGCTAACGCTCTGGCAACCACCCTAAACACTCATGCAACCACTCAGAACATCATAGTAATTCCCATACAACCACGTGAAACACCTTAACAACTGCCTCGCAACTACTCAGAACTTTTTACTTATTCTCTTTCAAAGACCCAGAACATCCTTTCAGTGACCAAGCAATGACTTAGAAACCACTCAGATCGCCCTAACAACTGCTTGGCAACCACCCAAAACACACATGCAACCACTCAGAACCTAGCAATGCCCTTACTGCCAATGTTCTGGCAACCAGCCTAAATACCCATGCATCAGTTCACAACATCATATTAATGTTCTTAAAACCACCCGAAACACCCTAACAACTGCCCAGCAAACAGAACTCCTTAGCTATGACCTTGCAAAGAACCAGAACACCCTAACAACCACCTAAAACCTAGCAAATATAGCAAGAATTTCCAATGCCCCAGAAACAAACTGGTACACCCTAGCAATGCCCTACTATAGCAACCACCCAGAACTCCTTAGAAATATCTTAGTGATGACCCTGAACACACCACCAACCATACTAACCTAGCAACACCCTGACAATGGAAGCAGCCTTTTCCTCTGGAGGTTTTTTTTTTTTTTTAAATAGGCCACCAAATTACAAAGGCAACCTCTGCCTAGCAGCCACCCGAACACCATAACAATGTTCAAGCAAAAAAAACTACGATACCCTGTTAACCACCTAGTAATGCCCTAGCAACCATCTTGAACAGGGATCTGCAACCTCCAACATCAAAAGAGCCATTTTGGCCCCTTTCCCACCGAATAAAATTCATGTGGAGCCACAAAACCTCTTCAATTCCTAAAATGAAAATGATAAGAGCATATAACTAAAGTTTTATATTCAGTTATGTTACAGGGCAGGGGCGCAGCAATCATTTCAGAAGTGAGGGAGACAGAAATGTCAAGTGTAGTAGTAATAATAATAATTATTATTATTTTATTTATGTATGTTTGTCTAATTTACAAAAAAAAAAAGTTTCATGTCTTGAAACACATAAACCATATATTGTCGCAATCGTTTATTGTCTTCACGTTTCATCAGTTATGGTTTATGCTTGTTATTCAGCTTGGCAACAGCAATAGCTGGATGCCTTTGTCCATATTTGGGATTTCCTGGCACATCATAAGTTATTACTACTTCTATGAGTCTGTTTTGGACTTTCTGTGCGAGAGAGCTCTCTGGCTTGGAGTATAAATGAAATATACACTGAATGAGAGTGTTGAGTGCTCCGTAATGTTCATATCGTTTTGGATATGAATAAAACGTCTTCATGAACGGGAATAGTTTAGGTTTTATTCAAAGTTGGGGGAACATGTCCCCCGCGTATTCTGTGCCCATGCTACAGGGAGCCACCGCGGAGGCATGAAAGAGCCACGGGTTGCCGACCCCTGACCTAAAATAACATGGCAAACACTACATTTTCTAGCTATGCCTTAGTAACGGCCCAGTACACCCTAGCAATGCAACCACCCATAAAGTCTTTTGTGACGACTCTGAACACCCCTTAGCAACACCCTAGCAACACCCTACTACTCCTTTGTAATGCCCTAGCAACTATAGCCATAACTCCTTCACAATGCCTTAGCGAAAAGAATACCAAATGCCTGATAGCTCGTAGGCACCCCCCAAGCACCTTAACGAAACACCAACTGGCACCGTTGGTCCTGTCCCAAATGGCACACTTCATATGAACTTGTGGACTTACAGTGACTTACATTTTAGCTTTCAGATTGGTACTCATGAATATCATTTAGAACAGGGCCAGTGCGTTTTGCACAAGCCAACATCCCACATATCCTTCAGAAAAGGCTTGTTTTTAATACATCTTCTGTCTGTTTTTCTCAGAGTAATGGTGACTAGCGTTCTTGCAGACAGACATCCTGGTGAACTGCATCTGTTTCGTAATTACGACCCACCAGCCCTGCAAAGAGACCCTCCATACACATCTACAGCCACATTTCAACCCCTTACTGTGCCGAAGGGTAAATCTCTTGTGTACTTTCGTTCTCGGGATGTTGTTGCGCTAATTATCTTTGTGCCGGTGAAAACGCTCATGTTCATGCTCTTGGTTTCTTAGTTATCCTCAATCTCAAATAATGCGTAAAGCTTCATTGTGACTGTTGCAGGGTGGGAGGACGAAGATCTTTTGGTATTAGGATATACTCGACCTCCCAGAAAGCGTAGAAAGGTGACGGATGAAGGTGTGTGTGTGTGTGTGTGAGAGAGAGAGAGTGTGTGTGTGTGTGAGAGAGAGAACGGTATGCACGATAATATCATTTAGAACAGGGCCAGTGCGTTTTGCACAAGCCAACATCCCACATATCCTTCAGAAAAGGCTTGTTTTTAATACATCTTCTGTCTGTTTTTCTCAGAGTAATGGTGACTAGCGTTCTTGCAGACAGACATCCTGGTGAACTGCATCTGTTTCGTAATTACGACCCACCAGCCCTGCAAAGAGACCCTCCATACACATCTACAGCCACATTTCAACCCCTTACTGTGCCGAAGGGTAAATCTCTTGTGTACTTTCGTTCTCGGGATGTTGTTGCGCTAATTATCTTTGTGCCGGTGAAAACGCTCATGTTCATGCTCTTGGTTTCTTAGTTATCCTCAATCTCAAATAATGCGTAAAGCTTCATTGTGACTGTTGCAGGGTGGGAGGACGAAGATCTTTTGGTATTAGGATATACTCGACCTCCCAGAAAGCGTAGAAAGGTGACGGATGAAGGTGTGTGTGTGTGTGTGTGAGAGAGAGAGAGTGTGTGTGTGGAACAGAAAGGTCACCGTATGCACGATTTCTGGTGTTGGATGCGCAAGTCGTACCTCACGTTGGAACTAAGCGGTCGTTAGTTTGTTTCTGGGAGGCTAATCAACTTGTGCACTCTTGGTTCTCCCGCTCAGTCACATCCTCTTTCTCTCAGAGCAATTAGTTTGGCGTGCCGCCCGATCCAGTGGAGCTGCTCCCACTTACTTTCGACCAATGGGCCGTTTTCTGGATGGAGGGCTGCTGGCCAATAACCCAACGCTAGATGCCATGACAGAAATACACCAGTACAACAAAGCCCTGAAGGCACAGGTCTGATTCACAAATTTGGTCAAAAGAATTACCTGTTCAAGACTCACTTTTAGCTAGAAATGTAATTGACTACATCATGTTTCATTGTAATATCAACAATATTTCGTACAATGGGTTTTAGTTAGTATAATATAAAAATTGAGCAGAGAAATCGTACATCCCAACAAATCCAGTTGATTAATGGGTTTTGAAAAGCAGATGTGTCCTAAAGCCCAAAGTATACTTTGGTATTTATTTGTGTGTTAAATTTCGCCATCTGAAGAAAATGCACCTAATGTTTGTTCCAAGTACAATATTTCAAAGTTGGTTTGCAAGGTGGCAGCACTGGCCTGGGAAGTTGTTTCACAGTCAAGCAAAAGAAACTGAAGAGACAGAATAACAACTATGGAATTCCAAACCTGACAAAATTAGAAATAAATAAATATACAAAGGAACAGAAAGGTCACAGTATGCACGATTTCTAGTGTTGGATGCGCAAGTCGTACCTCACGTTGGAACTAAGCGGTCGTTAGTTTGTTTCTGGGAGGCTAATCAACTTGTGCACTCTTGGTTCTCCCGCTCAGTCACATCCTCTTTCTCTCAGAGCAATTAGTTTGGCGTGCCGCCCGATCCAGTGGAGCTGCTCCCACTTACTTTCGACCAATGGGCCGTTTTCTGGATGGAGGGCTGCTGGCCAATAACCCAACGCTAGATGCCATGACAGAAATACACCAGTACAACAAAGCCCTGAAGGCACAGGTCTGATTCACAAATTTGGTCAAAAGAATTACCTGTTCAAGACTCACTTTTAGCTAGAAATGTAATTGACTACATCATGTTTCATTGTAATATCAACAATATTTCGTACAATGGGTTTTAGTTAGTATAATATAAAAATTGAGCAGAGAAATCGTACATCCCAACAAATCCAGTTGATTAATGGGTTTTGAAAAGCAGATGTGTCCTAAAGCCCAAAGTATACTTTGGTATTTATTTGTGTGTTAAATTTCGCCATCTGAAGAAAATGCACCTAATGTTTGTTCCAAGTACAATATTTCAAAGTTGGTTTGCAAGGTGGCAGCACTGGCCTGGGAAGTTGTTTCACAGTCAAGCAAAAGAAACTGAAGAGACAGAATAACAACTATGGAATTCCAAACCTGACAAAATTAGAAATAAATAAATATACAAAGAAATGTAAAAAGGCTATATATATATATATATATATATATATGTGTGTATGCGCACACACAAAGAAAAGTAAAACATTTTTTAAATTATTTTATTTCCTTATTTATGTAAGTTTAATTTTTTCCCACCACATTTATTTAGTTTTTCTTTTATTTATTTATACATGTATTTATTTCCACATGTATTTACTTAGGCATTTATTTCTATATTTATGTAAACCGTGAGAGATCCTGAAACAGGTGAAAAGTGTTTGGTTACTGTAGGACTGTCACGATTATGAAATTTTATATATATATATATATATATATATGTGTGTATGCGCACACACAAAGAAAAGTAAAACATTTTTTAAATTATTTTATTTCCTTATTTATGTAAGTTTAATTTTTTCCCACCACATTTATTTAGTTTTTCTTTTATTTATTTATACATGTATTTATTTCCACATGTATTTACTTAGGCATTTATTTCTATATTTATGTAAACCGTGAGAGATCCTGAAACAGGTGAAAAGTGTTTGGTTACTGTAGGACTGTCACGATTATGAAATTTGGCTGACGATTAATTGTCTAAAAAATAGTCACGGTTATTGCGATTAATTGTTTGTTTTAGGGCTTTGGCGATTCAGGACTTGCAAAATCCATGCCCGACATCCCGGGCTATTGTTTTTTTCCAGTCGAGCTACTAAAATGTATCACTGCCCTGCTGTGCGACTATTGTGCGATTTATAGCACAATAATCATGGTTGTTTCAGACAAGAATCAAATAATCGCGTTTCAGATTAGATCAAATAATCGTGATTAGACGGTTATTTAATTATCGCGACAGGCCTAGGTTAACGGTGAGTATTTACCTATTATGCGTACCATAGAGTCTGCCTAATAAATAAATAAATGTGGAAATAACTAAATGTATAAATAAATAAAAGAAAAAATAAATGTGGAAAAAAATAAAAATATATATATAAGGAAGTACAAGTATAAATCATTTATTTATTTTACTTTTCTTTGTATATTTATTTATTTATTTCACTTTTTTGTCAACTTCTGGAGAGAAATAATACAGACACTTGACAAGGATGAAACTTTCTAGTGCGCATGTGTTGAGTGCCTCTGTTTGTGCACGCTGTCAACTGGGGTTGACTATTGGCTGTACACACATGTTAAGCCATGATTTCACTTTTTAACTTTAGTTAGTGTGTAATGTTATTGTTAGAGCATAAACAATGTCGGCAAAGTTACGACGTTCAATGCAAAGGGAGATATTTTCTTTTAAGGACTACAAAAGGGTGGTAGGGACTACAACGAGCTTCTTCCCGGGTTTGTGACATCACTAACCCCGTTGTTTACATACCCCGCCCCCGGGAACAGCAACTGCCAGGAGGAACTACGACGATGGCTGTAATGGGAAGGGGGCATGACGTTTCCGGGACAACATGCACTCTGCGGTTAGCGAATCACAACACACTGGGTCAGCTAACCAATCTGAGCCCATTGCGTATTTCTGAGGGAGTGGCTTCATAGAATCAGGAAGTCAACAGACCGGTTTGACGAGAACAGAAACAGTGGTGTAGAATAAAGTTAAAATATGTGAAAACAATGCTGTTTTTTTTTTAAACGAAGCATGAACATGTTACACTGCACCCCATAAACACAATGAAACTTTTGAAAAAAGCTGATCAACCACTCCTTTAATCCTCGTGACCCACCGCTCTGCGTATTTGGCATGTCTCTCTTGTTTAACACTTGATTCAAGTAAACAGCTTGTTAGAATAGAGCTCCATGCATGAAGTGTGTTCCGATTGACATGGTCCCTACACAGTGTTCACTGCTCCTTACTCCCTGCACACGGGAAATCGGCTGAAATTTACTTAACTTAAGAACACAGACTTGCGCTACACCATTGCCTGCAGCATCTTCACACACAGACAACTTACTACAAAAGTGTGAAGGGTTAACCGTAATCATGAGATTTGCATAATAGCCACGTGTCTCGCACTTTAATGCCCTTTGAATGGAACATACACGCTCCTTTGGAACTGGAATCATGGCGGAATATCCTGTGATGTCCACTTCGTAGGGCACTTATGGTCGAATGGAACAAACCTCTGAAGTGATAATAGAAATCTACAAAATGTGCAGAGCGGGGGGGGGGGGTCGCGAGGACCAGGATTAAGAACCACTGCGCTAAGCATTTGCGTTAAAACCAAAATCTACTTTGGGCTCAAGACAGGGGTGTCCAAACCTGTTTCTGGAGGGCCGGTGTCCTGCAGAGTTTAGCTCTAGCCCTATTTAAACACAGCTGAACCAGCTAATTAAGGTCTTTAGACTTACTAGATACTTCCTGGCAAGTGTGGAGGAGCCGGTTGAAGCTGAACTCTGCAGGATGTTGGCCCATTCAGGAGGCTTAAGATGTCAACAGATGTTAAGATGTTAAACAGACTACTTTTCTGTTTTAAATGAAACACAATGTCAACCCTGACTAGGATCTATTGGACATTTTTGAAATGGTGTAAGTGTATTCTAGTTATACGTGCATATTTTTCTCACTCCATCAGGCGCGTGAATCAGAAGTGTGCAGGTTAGGTGCGGTCGTCTCATTGGGCACCGGTAAACCTCCTCAAGTGGCGGTGAACTCGGTAGATGTTTTCAGGCCTTCAAATCCACTGGAGCTGGCCAAGACCTTCGTTGGCGTCAAAGAGCTGGGCAAGATGCTTGTGGACTGTGTGAGTTTCCGTGTACAAACCTCACAAAAACCTCCAGTTGCCTGTTTAAAAGTACCATTGTTTTAGGTGCAAGTTGTTGGCACTTTTGTGTGTTGGTTGGAGTGAGTCATGAGTCATGTTTCTTCTTATGTTTGTCAGTGTACAGACTCCGATGGTTGTGCAGTGGACCGAGCCCGAGCGTGGTGTGAGATGGCCGATATAAACTATCACAGGTCAGTTGTGAGCGACTGACCCTCATTCACAGCCTCGTTTGAACAATTATGCTGTGGTTTCTGTAAATCTCTGCACTCTTTCTGTTCTGCGAGGAAATTATGACTTCTCTTCCTTGTGTCTGTCATTTCATGTCTTCCTATTCTCTTCTTTTATACATCGTTGTGTCCTTTTATTTTTCTGACTTATGACCTCCAATGTCCCACCACTTCTTTCATTTCATTTCATTTTGTTTCCTTCATTTATTTATTTTTTTTTACATCCATTACATTCCTTCCTTCCTTCATTTCTTCTTTCTATAATTTCCTTTCTTCCTCCCCGTCATTCATTTCCTTCCTTCGTTCCCTTTTTTCTTCCTTTCGTGTCTTTTTTTCCTTCATTCCTACCTACCATTCTTTTCTTTCCTTCTCTCCCTCCTTCCATCCTCCCTTCCTTTATTTTACTTTCTTCTTTCCACCGTTCCTTCATTCCTTCATCCGTCGTTCACTTCCTACCTTCCTTCATTTTCCTTTCTTCCCTCCTTCCTTACTACCTTTCATTTTTTTCCTTTCTGTCTTTCTTCCCTTCTTCCTTCCTAATTTCACCTCTTTCTATCATTTACTTCGTTCTAATGCATTCCATTCCTTCCTGCTTTTTATTACCTTCCTTCCCTTTATAATTTCTTCCTTACTTTCATTTATTCCTTCATATCACCTTTTTCATTTCATTTATCTTCATTCCTTTTTTCCTACCTTCTTTCCATCCTTCTCATTTAATTTTCCCTTGTTCTGTAATTTTGTTTAACTCCTTCTTTCCTTTTCCCAACCTTCCTTCCTCCTTTTAATTTCTTATTTTTCTTAATTTCTCCCTTTTTATTGTTTAATTAAAATTTTAATTCCTTCATTCCTTTCACTTATTAATTTCTTCCCTTCTTCTATTTATTTTCCTCCTTTTTGTTTCCTTCATTCCTACATTTGATTTAAACTCATTTCATGTTTTTTGTATCTTTCCTTCCTGTTTTCCTGCTTTCTGTCCTTTTAATTTCTTTCCTCCCTTTCATTTTGTTTCCTTTCAATTCTACCTTTCATTCAATTTCATTACCATTTTTTTTTTTCGTTTTCCCTTCCTACCATCCTTCTCACATTTCATGTCATTGCTGCTTCAGGATGAGTCCTCAGCTGTCTCAGGAGGTGATGCTGGATGAGGTCAGTGACGCTGTGTTAGTTGACATGCTGTGGGAGACTCAGATGTACCTGTACGAGCACAGAGATGTCATGCAGACCCTCTGCCAGCAGCTACTTCAGCTCTGACAACAGCTTCCAGACTGAAGGCGATGAAGAGGGTTTTGGTGGCTTCATATGCATAAATGATTTATCCTATACAAATAATGAATCTGAATACAGTAGTGTGTGTACGTTGTTGTGACATGTTCAATTAATTTAAAGGCAGAATATATATATTAGAGCCCGACCGATATATCGTTTAGCCGATATTATTGGCCAATATGAGCCTGTCGCCGATATATCGGTATCGGTGAATATGCCGCCGATATTAAATGTTTTTTTTTTTACAGAACATATAACACATTAAATGCTTCTGAATGGTGTAATTACTTAGTTTGTCCAGCAGAGCGCGCGCCATTGTTTGCTACTGGACCCAGGTCAGTGTAGTGTAGAGATGCGCGGATGAGCTCAAACTTCACCCGAGTCCTCTGCTTCAAATTATCAATAGAATTCTATTGTATTTTGTCTCGCCGCTTGCGTCCGGTGTAGGATAGAACCCATTATGTTGTCTACACCGGATTCAGTAAACTGATGCCTCGTTCTATTTATGACATGCTGACAGAAGTTCAAATGATTTTCAACGGTCGCTTTGACGCGTTCTGTTGCAGCGCAGACACGGTGTCAGCATAGTTTGTCAGTACAGTCAGTAACGTAGCAGATTGAAAGTTAGAATCTTTCTGCAGGCCAATAGACGGCAGTGCGGTGGTGGCTTGAGTCTGTTGAATGGTGATTTAACGCTACGTTGTCACCTACTTGGAGAGACTCAATGCTAAGCAAATAAACATCAATGCCCTCGTCTTTTACTCTCACAATGAGCTTATCATATTCGTTTGCTACATTAGTAGGGCCCTATGATTTCCGCGATGCAGAAAACATGGACGGAATCATGGAATCCAGTCATAAAAATGGAATTTACTGTATAACACGGAATTTCATGGAATTGGTCTTATTTTTGATGAATAAAT